AGTGGCGCTAGTATTAACCCACCATTCCTTAGGGTTACCTACCAAGTTACATTCGAAAATCACTGCAGAGAGGTTCATGTCAGAGACTTCCATTGAAAGTTTGTCTAATTCAGTCATGTTTGCTTAAGTATTAGGCTTTTTAAAATTCTTTGACTTATGACAGTCTTTTAAAATATTCCTCGTTTTGTCACAGTTGTAGCATTTGCCTTTGAATTTCTTTGATCCTTGATTTGGACCTTTGCCATTGTGCTTCCTTTTCTTGTTAGTCTTGGTTCCATTTTCAACTATGTTGACCTTAGATTCCGTGAAATTAAAAACTCTAATTTACTTCTCAGATTTACGATTATCCTACTTGATCCTTAAGCAAACAATTAATTTTTTAAGTTTCATCTCCTTGCGCTTATGCTTGAGATTGTTCTTGAAATCCTTCCATAGGTGGTATTTTCTCCATAATCTCAGCCACTTAGAATGACTCACTAAGAGACATAACTTCGGCATGGATGTCATGAAGGATAACTTCAAGTTCTTGAACTTGGGATATGACAGTCTTGAAATCCACCATTTTGAAATCCAAAAATTTATTGACAATGAACTTCTTCGTACCGACACCCTTGGTCTTGTACTTTTTGTCCAAGGATTCCCAAAGTTCTTTCGTGATTTTGACTGCACTATACACATTGTATAATGCATTGTCTAATCCATTGAGGATGTAATTTTTACACAAGAAATCCGAATGCTTCCAAGCTTCCACAACATCCACCTTTTCTACATTAATTTCATTCTCATCAAGTGAATGAACATCTTTCTTAGAAAAATTTGCAAATTTAAGGGTGATGAGATAGAAAAGTATCTTAGTTTGTCAACGTTTTAAGTCCGAGCCATTGAACTTCTCGAGCTTTTTCCCATGAGACACACTCACGGTTGTAGGAACAACAGTAGGAGGAACATAATCATTTAAAGTTACCATTTCTATTACACAAACAGAAGTAATAATTTAATACTAAAATCAATAGTCTAACAGAATACAAAATTCTTATTTGTGATAAGAATGGTAATTAATGAAAGTAAAACAGTAACATAATACAAAATTCTGTTTTAAACGTATAACAATACTTAATCTAATTATAAAACATAAATATGTTTTTAGATTGTTATGGAAAATAAGTATAGAATTAGATGATATGTTACTATATAAAGTCTAACTTATGTACTAATCTAAACTGAATATATAGTAAGAAAAACTGGGCACTCACAAGGATATAGATCTGCACGAACAATTAATAAGAAAACTAGAATTTCAATCAAAGCCTTGTGAAACACAATTTCATTAAGAACATATTTGCTCCCTCTCAGTGCTCAAGGTTGATGAGCAACTGCTTCCCAAGATAGAACGAATTACGTATTTGCAGAAGTAACACTTTAATCTCCAAAGACTAGCAAACACAACTTGTGTTTATACTTGAACCGAACTAAAAGAATAATGCAACAATATGGAGAGAAGAGAAGAAATTCTAAAACTAAAATCCAAAATTGGGATGTATTGAATGGCAATGTGACAGTCTATTTATAGACCTTTGGTGGCTGTTCAGATTGCTTGAAGAGGCATGAGTTGTTACTATTCAGATTGAAGAGACACATTCCTTAATCTGAACATGCAAAGGAACCAAAGGCACCTCTGGAGTGAACATAGCCTCTGGAATGAACCAGACCCACTTTAGCGCCAAAGTCAAAGTAACGGATAAAAATTTAAAAATTCGGTTGTATTTAATTTTTGGTTGAGATTTTAATTCCGATCCGTATTAGGATCCATCTGGTTTGACCCATGACCCGCACCACTCCAACTAAATCTTGTCCAAAAATATTATACTTTTTTGGCCCAAAGCCAAGCCTGGTCAGGCTAGGTCGAGTCAGGTCGTGGCTGGCCGCGCATGTGTGCGCGTGATAACCAAGGTAGTGTAGGTGCTCAATCCACTCATAAAAGTGTAGTATCCCTTAGGGCCCAATCCATGAAGCCAATTAGGAGTATATTAACTTACCAAAGTGTTGGTCTTCTTCCAATATGAGACAAACTTTATTTTACTACACCAATCTTAGTTTATTTCATCACTTCAAATTGGTCACTTTGAGACATAATTTCTCATTCAAATCTTAATGATTTTGGACAAATAAATATACCACTTTAATCTCCTTGTGAAAGAGAACACATTTAAACTTAGTCCCACTAATTTCGAGGTGTGGGTCCTACTTTTATTTAAGCCTCAGGTTGCTCAAATAATTTTGTTTAAAACCATTTTTTCAACACCTAATCCACAAAGCAAATATGCCCTTAAGGTATATTGATGTAGAGCAACTAGTGAGAAATTAGACACATTCTAAGGGTTTAGGGAATACCATGATTAGACACATTCTAAGGGTTTAGGGAATACCATGAATTGTAACAAGAGTAATACTAATGGAACTTAAAAATTTAACCTAATTTTTTCATCTAATGATGTAATTTCATTGTAACTATAGAATTAACGCAAAGTTCTAATATTTGATAGGGTCCACAGTAGGGCTGGCCCAATATTAAGGCTGATAAAGTCTAGACTTTAGGCCCCACACTTTTAAAAGACCCCATAATTTTAGATATATAATTAGCCCAAATAAAAAATTTAAATCTATGATAATTATAAGTCTTAAGGCCCCAAAAAATAAAAATCCAATCAAACAAAATTAATTTTAATAATTTGGACCCATGATCGAACCTATAATATTAAAAACCCAAAAATAAAAAGTAAAAAAAAATTACTCAAAAATCAATTCATATTTATCACATCTCAGTTGAAACTTGAAACCTTTCACCCTGTTTGGTTTGAAGGAAAGTTGGGTGGATGGAAATTTTTTTATTGTTTAGTATCAAAGGAAAGTATGAGGGAAAGGAAAAGTCGAGGTTGAACATTTCCCTCTAGTTCACAATTTTTTTTCTCTCCAAAAGTGGGCGAAAATGAGAAGAAAAAGTCGGACAATATGCTTTTCAAGATAAGTTTACTTTATTGCCCTTCAATATATTCTATATTATATATTAATTATTGTCTATGCCTGAAGACACAAATTAATAAAAAATGATAAACAATAAATATATTTGTATTCATATCCAAAATTAAATCGTAAACATAGAGAAGAGATAAAAAAATTTAAACATCGATTTGTAGTGGGGATTAGAGATAGTGGGCGGTAGTGGTAGGGGTAGGAGACAATAGTAGTTATGGTAGCGGTGGTGGTGGTGACGACGATGATGGTGGTGGTGGCGACAATAGCGATGGTGACGACGACAGTGGTGGTAATGGCAGTGGTGGCGGGTGGCGGTGGTGGTGGTGGTGGTGATGACGACGATGGTGGCGGTAGCGCTAGAGGTGGCAGTGGCGGTGGTGAGGGGTGGCGGTGGTGGTGGCTGTGACGGTGGTGGTGGTGGTAAAGGTAGCGATGGTGCAAAATAATATTTTTTTTAAAGTACTTATGAGAAATAATTCTTAGAAACACTTTTAAAAAATTACTCCAAACACACTCTTAGGGGCCTATTTTTTCCTATTAAATTTAGAATTTTAATATTAGCCGTTAGATTAACTTTAAAGTAAAATTTAAAGCGATCTCAACTGCGAATAACAAAAGTCATTTTGTTTATCTTTTAAGATTTGAATTGTAAGCTATTTTATTATATAGATATATACACTACATTAATACATAATTTATTATTTAAGGGTAGAATTATAAATTGAGCATATATATTTTTTCTTTCCTTTCATTTTACATCCAAATTCAAACAATGAAAAATATATTCCTCTTACTTTTCATCTCTTCTACCAAACAAAAAAGAGGAAAAATAATTTTCTTTCCTTCAAAGATGAAAAGTTTAATCTTTTCACTTTTCTTTCCTTCTTTCTTTTCACCTTTCGTACAAAAATGAATCATTAGTAATATTAGCAAAGACTTTTCCTCTCGTTCAGGGCTGCCCCAGGCCACTAAGGTGGCCGCCTAGGGCCCACACTTTAAGGGTCTAGAAATATTACAACACAGTTTAACTATGGGTAGTTATTTGTCTCTTAAGTTTGAGGCCAAAAAGTTCGATTTCAATCTACATTCAACTAAGGTATGTTTCCCTTTTAGGGCCCTTCAAAAAGAAAAAAAGAAAAAAAAGGAGTATTACACATAGATTCTAAGAGATTTGTATACGCGTAACACTTACACTTCTATTGTTAATATTCGTTAGTAAATTATACATAGACCTCTTAAAATTTATATGCTTGTAATATTTAAATCTCTCAAGTTTAAAATGTTATATTTAAATAAAAAAAATTTCCAATAAAAGATAGAATATTAAATATTTTAATTCTTATAATTAAAATTTATGTTCTATTATGTTATTTATTAATATAAAATCAAAAATAAAAATCTAATTATGTCCTAGCCCATAATCAATTCAAGAGTTATAATAAATTAGATCAAAAAATTAAATCCCAATAAAATTACTCTTGTAACAAATAGAGGAGTGAATATACGAGGGTTACTACTTTATGTAAAATATTGAGGTTTACTTTATTTCTTTAGTTATTTTATATTGGATGGTAATTTCATGTAATGATGGTAAATTCTTGTAATGATGATGATATAGTGTAACCAAAAAAAAAAAAAGACTGTTTAATACACAGACTTCAACCACTGCATTGTACAGGAAGTGTTGCACTGAAAATTTACTTCTGTTGATCTTAATCTATGACGTGGCATTAGGGTATTGGAAAACCATTAGTAATTGTAAAAGTCTGCATTGACAACGGATGCAGCAGATCTCAAAAACTCAACGCGGCGGGAAAGGGACAAAAAATTTCGCGCATGAATTAAAATTCAAAACTGTTATTTCAAGAAATCTCCCGCACTCACAAGCTCACCCCTTCGATCCATCTTTCTCTATTGTTCACCTTCCTTCTCATCTCTCTCTCTCTCTCAATCACAGACGGTGGAAAATGGGGGACACTTCACACCTAGAGAAAATGGGCAGAGAACTCAAGTGTCCCATCTGGTAATCTCGGTTTGTACATATACTTATATAAGTACACATACCCACAAATCTGTATCTGCTTGGTATTCTTTTCCCCAAGAATCTACTTGTGGGTCTGAGAAGCAACTAATATTTTCTTTTTCCTGTTTTTTCATTTGTTTTTGCAGCTTAAGTCTACTGAATTCTGCTGTTTCACTCACTTGCAATCATGTGTTTTGCAAGTAAGCTTCTTTACCATCACACACACACACACACACTGTTATGTGCAGAACGTGTTGGAAGTGTAAAAGTAAGATGTTGATTCCGTGTTCTTATATATGAATTTTCAGTTCATGTATTGAGAAGTCTATGAGATCAGCTTCCAGTTGCCCAGTTTGTAAAGTCCCCTATCGGCGAAGAGGTATGTTTTTTTATCCTTTCGGTTCTTGTAAATTGAGGGATTAGACATGATAAGCTGTGTAATTTTTGTGAAAGTTATCTGCCACAAATCGGTTTCTTTTGTCTAAAATTAATGTTGGCTGTGGATCGAAATTAGTAAAAGAGAGTAAGAATAACATGATAGAGAAGAAACCCACTAATTATCTGTTTAAGTGGTGGGCCTTTGAGCATTACTTTCATTAGCTTTGAATTTTGTTCTAGTTTCTCTTATTTTGAAAAATCCGATGGGTCATATAAATGAAACCCTCTATGACCTATTGAGAATGATATCACCATGCAACAATGCCTCTGGTGCCCAAGAACTCCACCTAAAACACCTAATGTGGAGAGGTGCCTCCACATCACTTTGCATTTGGTAGATCACTGGAGTGAGCATGGTAGGTGGAAATGGGTGCAGGACAGGACTAATGGGCTGAAATGAGAAACTTCATCGAATCTGTTCAAATGTTTACTGCATCTAGAAATGCCTTTTGGTTTTTTTTTGGCCAAAATGGATTATTTCATTACTCGGAAGAACAGTGAATTTGTTTACTTGTTTGAAAAATGTTTTTCAGGAATAAGATTCAAGTTTTTATTAGTCAGATTATGGTAGTTCAATTTTGTAGCCATTTGTTTCTTCATTATGGATTGACTTTAGAAGCATCTCTCTTTAGGTTCTCAAGTTGGAAACTGTGAGTCAATTTAGAGTCAACAGGGATAAGAATTCAATATTTGACATCAAATTAATTCTTGTTTCTTCTAAAGTAATGTCATCTTTAAGGTAATCGTCTAGGCATGTGAGATTTTCAATTTGGACATGTACATGAATGTTAAGAACTATGTATTATACAAACTGATATTTTGGTTCAATGTAGATTATATAAGCTGAAAGTATAATGTTTTTTCACTTTGTTACAACAGGTCATTTTATCCTTACATTGCTCACCGATTTGTACATTGGATAATGATTGGGGAGGCTAAACACTATTTATGCTCTTGTAGACACATGCATTTCCATATATATATATATATATATATATATATATATATATATATATTCAGGGATTAGGAAGTCACACCAATATAACACAATCTCCAATCTCTATGTAAAAGATTGACTTTAATATTGTGTTTAATTTTAATCATGAAAACAACAGACATTGCTAAATATGGGGAAAAGCGAAAACGTGATGCAAGATAACTGTGCTTCTATTTGCTGGATATTGTGAAGTCATTGGACTTTTTAATTCTGCAACATGCAATTTGAATGGCAATTTGAGTGCTACAGTTTATTAAGTTGATACCTATGACGTGGATAACTTGGCTTATAAGCTAATGTTTGGTAACGCATCTCCATGTCTTCGACCTTCTAGAAAAGATCAACAAAGTGGTAACACATTCCTTATCATCCTTTTCTGAAAGCAGTGAATGAGAGCAAGAAATTGCGTAGGGCATTGTTGAGAGAATCAACTTGGTTGGATGAAGTGTAGAACTACATCACCAATGTTGTAATTTTGCGACAAATCTCCCTATAGCCAAAATACAGCCCTTAGTTTGGGACAAAGCAAATGTGTACAGCATAACAATCACATAGATGCTCAGTTGAGACAATTGGTAACATGCAAAAAGCAGAAAATTGTTCTTTAAGGAATGCTAATGAAGGCACCAATGAGGAGAGGCTGATTTAATTTGAAGGTACTATGAAGGGATGTGAAAAGATTAATGATTCTCTTATCAGTTGTGGAAACATGACTCTCTTCATCTCCTTAGTGGAACTGATCAATCATCGATAGGTTTTGCCTTTCGAAGTACTATATGATTTATGATGTTTTACTTGTTTCCAAAAGAGGTAAATTTCTATGTGAATTTGTTGCTTGGTCTAATTAGTATTCATGGTCATATTGTTCATATTCTTTTGACGCATGGGTTATATGCCATATCATTTCAACACTCAAACTAATGATTTTTTTTTTTCTCACAGAGGTTCGCCCTGCTCCTCATATGGATAACTTGGTCTGCATTTACAAGAGTATGGAAGTTGCTTCGGGAGTCAACATATTTGTCACGCAAACTGCACCTTCAACTAAACTATCAGGTAATATTTTAGCAAGATTGCATGTTCGACATATTACAACGGTCCGGTTTGAAGGACTTATTTAATGTAAAATTCTAATAACCACTGATATTCTTAAAAAATGCAGATATGCAAGCAGAACTTTTTCCCCATACATTTACTATCTTGCCTGCATATGTTTCTATATTACTAGCAAACGTTGGATTCTCTGGTCTTCTTGCTAAGAACAGTGAAATTTGTTCTTCTAGCTGGAACAGAAGTTTACTAGACACAGAAGCCAGTTCTTGTGAGTTCAGAGAAAGTGATGAATTTATAGAGTACATTAAAGAAATATTCCCTTGTTTTTGATAATGGCTTTGTAATATGCATATCCAAAGCATCAGGACAATTTCATATATCTCCTCAATAGAATCCCTAAGCTGTATTATGCTCTGTATGTCTTTAATTGTATTATTATTTTATAACATAGTTTGGTGGATTTACAGAGATTATAACATTTAAACTATCACTTTTAGGGCTTAAGTGAAGTTTTATAAACTTATATATATGAGGGAATTAGTGTTTCAATTCTATTTAGCATATTTTAGAGATTCTGTTATTATCCTTTTCTAGTTGTACAGATGCAGGAAACCCACCTGAAAGTGATGGGGTTTGTGGAAGCAAAGAGACATCAGTCCAAGAGAATTCAAGAAGATCCAAAGGAAAAGGGTCAAAAGGATCAAAGAAAATTTTTGAAAGTTGTAGTTTGAACCCTGTTAGACCTTCCTTTCCAACAAAGAAAAGGGTCCAGGCGACGGACTATCCTCCCCCAGAGACCCCAAAACACCCTAAGCTTGATTGTGGGATGGATGAAATACCCAAAGATGGACCTAAGAAAAGTTCAGTCCTATTAGAGGAGAAACATGCTCTAAATGAAAAGGGAGATCCAGTATTTTCTCCATTCTTCTGGCTGAGAGAGGAAGAGGATGTAGAGAAGTCAAGTCAGCAGACCGATGGGGATCTTATAATGGAAACGCCACCAGATGCTCCTTGCTTCAGTGATATCAAGGAGTCAGATGATGAAGCTCCCTGTAAAATGACCCCGGAAGTAAGTATTGCTTTCAATCATTTGGTCAGTTCATGATGAGCAAGGTATTGAGTCCAAGTTCTATAAACATCAGGCCCAGACCATTAAAGATATATGTTGAGTGTTAGTATAGGTTGAATGTGAACTATTACTTTTTCTAGCCTTCTAGTTTCCCTGATTGTAATTAGAAGTTGTGGATGGCTAATTAACCCATACCTTTATGTGACTCATTAACTTGTCTTTGTTCCTCAAAAAAAAGAAAAGAGCATAACATCAAAACACTTCCTAAAAGGCCTTTGCCTTGAGTACTTGGGCAAGTTTCCTTTTTGTAGATTATAGTGCTAGCTTCTGCAGGCCCATAGCACAGAGTGAGGGCCTGAGTCAATTAGGGATGTTTACTTATAATTTCATCTAGTGTGACCTTTCCTATCATTAGATGCCCTTAAATTTGTTTTGAAATGCCTTCTTTACCTTGTGCAGAAGGGAACTTGTATGGGACCAAATGATGCAGATATATATGACAGTGAGATGTTTGAATGGACACAAAGAGCTTGCTCTCCTGAACTCTTTTTGAGTCCCATGAAAGTTCTGGTAATCCATATATCATCGTGCTATAACATTGGATGTAACATATGTTTTCTATCTGTACCTTGTCAAGTTTTCCTTTATCTTTCTTAATTGATCTGAGTTTTCCTTCCTCTTTCTTAATTGTTCTGCCTATTACTGAAATTTGTTATGGAATGCAGGTTGAAGCTACGGATGAAAACATCAATGTTAAAAAGAAGTGCAAATCTGCTTCACAAAGCAGTAAGGCAAATGAAGAATCTGCAATTGGGAACAGAAAAAGCAGGATACCTGAGATGGGAAATGACAACATGGAAACAAGTTTACCGACTTTGTCCTGTCCTAGAACCAAAAGTGTTGCCAAATCTAACAAGAGAGTTAGGAAGGCAAATGGAAGCACCCTCAAAAAGAGAGCCAAGAAAAATATATGTGAAGTAATTGGAATTAGTAGTGATTTACAGAAAGTAGCTGACTATGTTATTCAAGAGAAGACGTGTGACAACAATGAGAGTTCATTAAATCTGGTGAAAACTTGCAAACGAAACAAAAAGGTTGGCTTTGATGCTAGTGCTACAGGATCAGTGGCAGAAAATTCTCACACTTTATGTGCTGGGGCAATTCCTTTGATTCAGGGGGATAAAACTGTGGTTGCTCACTTGTCAGCTTCATCAGTACAGAAGGAAGACAGTGAAGGAAGTAAAAATCTGAAGAAAAGTGGAAAAATCAATAAGAAGACAATGGATCCACAAAGGAGAGATCGTACAAGATCGAAAATCCAACAACTGAATACTGCTAAGAACATAATGCAAAGCAAAAACATTGAGGTTTTGACCTCTCAGGTGCTCAGTAAATCTCCTTCTATAAGTGATGACAAGGAAAATCATGATCTGGGTGTGAAATCCAGAAAAGTTCAACGTAAGAACACTAGTAATCTGAAATGTTTAAAGAAGGTGAAGTTTTCCATGGACAGTATATGCAAGGATAAGTTGGCTGGTGGAATTGCAACTATTCGAGAAAGGGTTGATGCAAAAGAAATTCAACCATTTGAAGGCGCTCAAGGCAATTTTGATGTCAAAGTTATCAACGATTCATCAAAAATGCAGAAGGTTCCTTCCATTTTAAATGGAGTGGTTTTGCATAAATGCGAGACAATTCCCAACAAAATCCAATGTGCTTTTTGTCAGTCTGCAGAAGACTCGGAGGTATACTTAGCTTTTGTTTCAAAAGTGTTCCTACTTCCCCTCCCTTTTGATTGTCTACATTAATTGTCTTCTGATTATGTATGTCAATATGTTGCTTTTTCCTGTGAACCAAAATTACAGGTTTCGGGGGTCATGGTTCACTACTTCGAAGGCCAGCCTGTCGGGGCAGATTATAATGGAGGCTTAAACATCACGCATGCACACAGATATTGCACAGAATGGTATAAATTCTGTAAAATAAATCGTCATACTACTATTTGATACTGCAGATACCATATGACAACTGCATGACTGATCATACAAGTAGGATAATTTTGGAAAATTTTAATCGGTATCCGGATTAGCAGAACAAGCATTCTCATTTACAATTCTATAAGTACTGTGATTTACATGTCCCATGAGTGCTTCATTTATACATAAATCTTTTGGCGTGAAAATATTGACAGTCTTGGGTGTCTCAAGTTATTTTATGAAAGATGTTTAAATTTTTGTATAAGTTTCATAAAGTTTGATCACTCAAGCACATTTTCAGGGCCCCTAATGTGTACTTTGAAGATGATAATGCAATCAACCTTGACACTGAAGTATCCAGAAGTAGGAGAATCAAATGTTGTTGCTGCGGAATCAAAGGGGCAGCTCTTGGATGTTATGATAAGAGTTGTCGCAAGAGCTTTCACGTTCCTTGTGCAAAATTGACCCCAGAATGTCGATGGGATAATGTAAGTGTCCAATAGATGAGATCAATATAAAATAGCAATGAACCACGAATTTACTTGATAATTTTTGCTTATTACAGGATAACTTTGTTGTGTTGTGTCCTCTTCATGCTTCTCTTAAACTACCAAATGAGACATCTGGATCTCAAGTGAAACACAAAAAGCAAAGTGTTCGAAAAAGGTGGGTTCAAATATTAACTAACAATCGTGAAATTTCTTGTGTACTGACCCCTTTTTTTGTTTCAACTGCTGAGCTTGTCAATTGACTTTTAAAGCTTCTCTTCATTATATACTCATTGTGTACCTTTTTCATTTTCTTCTGTAGACATTCTCATATCCATCATCCACAAGTCACCATTAAGCATGATAATAGCACATGTCGTAAGTGGAAGTCTCAGAGACCATCTGAAAAGTTGGTTCTCTGTTGTTCAGCTCTCACAGATGCCGAGAAGGTAAACAGACATCTGGATATTGTTTTTAAGTGGTGGGACATGTTACGAATTTTCCCATTGTGAAATTTACTAGACATCTGGAATTACAGGAAACTGTTTCTGAATTTAAGAGGTTATCTGGAGTTAGAGTATTGAAGAACTGGGATTCTAGTGTCACCCATGTAATTGCATCTACAGATGAGAATCGAGCATGCAGAAGAACTCTCAAGTTTTTGATGGGTGTCTTGGAGGGGAAATGGATACTGAGCATTGATTGTCAGTACATTGGTCTAATCCAGTTGAATCTGACATAAACATTAGCATTCTTAAAATTTTCACCAGGATTAGGACTACCTTGATTAGTATTTTCCTGTTGAACTATGCTTTTCTTTTTTTAAGATTCCTTTTTCTTGGTTTCTAATGACCTTGCAGGGGTTAAGTCTTGCATCAAGGCTGAAGAACTTGTTGATGAGCAACATTTTGAAATTGATATTGACGTCCACGGAATCAGGGGGGGCCCTCAACTTGGAAGACTAAGACTTTCAAACCAGGTTATTTCATTATCTAGATCTTATTTGAATAAAACAATGATTCCAAGTACTTTGAATTCAAGTGGCACTTTTGAAAGTGAAAAATTACTAGGAAATCAACTTATGGGAATAATATGCCTGTTAAATAATATTACAAAATCTGTCAGCTCAATCCTGTTGTGAATGTGATGTTGGCATCATGTAAACATGACTCATAATGCAGACTGCAATCTTCATATTGCTAATTTGTGAATGTGATTATTTTTGTAGTTGCCCACCGCAAGTACAGGTACTAGTTTGATTTACTTTTACTGATGTAAAAAGATTATAACAAAAAGAAATTAATACCAAAATTTCAACACTCAGTTTCCTTTCTGCCATTGCAGTGTATAATATAACTATTGCATTTTATTTCATTGTCTGGCCCACTTATTTTATTTTATTTTTTTTTTGGGGGGAGGGGGTGATGGATATCCTGCATTATCATCTAAGGTAGTCATCTCATATCGTAACCATGACTCATAATGCATCTACAATCTTCATAACACTAGTCTCTGTGGGTGATTACAATTTTTTGATTGTTGGCTATTTCAGTCACATCATAAGAAAAGTTTTCAGCACTCAATATCCTATGTAATTGTATTTTATTGATGCTGCATTTTATGATTTAGTCTGCCCTGTTGTTTTTGTGGGGTTGGGAGAAGGAGAAGATATCCCATACAACATCCTAAATAGTCTTTCTTATTGGGTTGATTACAAGCATTAATTAGGTATGTCACAAGCTCAATTTTCCCTTATTCTTTCCATCTTAACTCCAACCATGAGCAATATTTTAATACCTAAATATTCATCTTTGGCGTATATAGGTATAATAGTTCACTTAGAATTTATGCAATGTAGACAAGGATTTGAAGATTAACTACCTAAATATTCATCTTGGTGTATATAGGTATAATAATTCACTAGAGACACATTTTGAAGCTTAACTACCTAAATATTCATCTTTGGCATATATAGGTATAATAGTTCACTAGAATTAATGCAATGTAGACAAGGGTTTGAAGCTTAACTACCTAAATAGTCATCTTTGGTGTATATAGGTATAATTCACTAGAGACAAACATTTGAAGCTTAACTACCTAAATATTCATCTTTGGCGTCTATAGGTTTAATAGTTCACTAGAATTTATGCAATGTAGACAAGGATTTGAAGCTTAACTACCTAAATATTCATCTTTGGCGTATTTGGTATTATCTATTTATACTAAAATTTATGCGATATAGACTAGGATTTGAAGCTTAAGTAAATATGTTGAAGCTCTGAATAATGCATTTTCTTGCCCACAGCAACCAAAGCTTTTCAATGGGTACGATTTCTATTTTACTGGAGATTTTGTACCATCATACAAGGGGTATCTCCATGATCTTGTAGTTGCTGCTGGAGGAACAGTTTTGTACAGAAAGCCTGTTTCAGGAGACCAGGAAGCAGCTGTGTCATCTGGATACTCAAAATCACCAGTATTCATAATTTATAGCCTTGAGTTACAAGAGAAGTATGCTCCAAGGAAGAGAAATTTGATATTAAGCCGTAGGCGAACTGATGCAGAGGAGCTAGCGAGTTCAACTGGGGCTATAGTAGCAAGCAATTCTTGGGTTTTGAACTCCGTTGCTGCCTGCAAGTTGCAAAACTTTGCAGAATAGTGATGCTTCTTGTTTACAGTCTTATAGTGGTCATCAATTCCATAGCTTATCAGTTTTCTTCAATTATGGTTATATCTTATCGCATGTATAATTTTCCTATTTTTATGTATAATGTTACTACATAAAAACTGTTTGGAACACTTGTGATTCTGCAAAATGTCAAAGCCAGTAATTTGAATCATAACAGCTAAGGACTGTTTCAGAATACTTTGGTGATACACATTATCAATTACTTCTTGTTTTCACCACTCAATTTCGGAAATCGCACCTTTGTTCATCTTTATTTTTGTCTATTGATGTTTAAACGTTTCCATATGCATTATTGTTTTGTTTACAACTTGAATTGGATCACCAGACCATACATTGTTATGCCATATTTTGTATTGATTTGTTCTTGATCAAATGTCTACAGGTTTTCTGGCCTTCTTTGTCTCACTTGGTATCTAAATTTCCCTAAAACGTGCCCACTTCATGCTATTTAACCTTTTGAAAAGTCCCAGACCCAAAAAAAAAAAAAAATCTGAAATGTTGCTATGTAAAAGTTTTTGTTAAAATATAGATACGTTCTAGGTAAATGCTTGAACTGAATCTGGAACTATGTTATCAAGATATCTTGCATGAAATACACTACATCAAGTTGCTACAACATAGAGTAATCTATAAACACAGGTAATTCACCGGATGCCTCACAGTTATCCCAGTTTATAATCATGGAGCTTTCTTATTATCTCCATTGGGTTTTACTAATAAGATAGAAAGAGATGTTCTCGCTTGTTCAGTATAGCTTGAGCTTTGCCCTATCTTACTGGTGCAGAAGCTACCACAACAAAAGAAAATGAATGAAACTGATTCTTCCCCCTCTTCCATTTTAATTAGTTTCTATTTGTTCATAATTCATGAATAGTCTTGTAAATATGGGATAGATTATGTTGTATGTAATTATGAAGTGATAGTGACAAAGAACCAGAGAAAGTTATTTTAAGGTTTACTAGGAACATCGAATCTTCTGAGTTCCGTCTCCTAGTAATGTCTTATATGCACAAAGTTTTATGACCGTCAGTGGTTTTCATTAGGTTTCAATCGCAGATATCTTAGTATAAACGTGTCTTTGGATGGTATTGCCCTGCTCAATATAAGTTTGAGCAACAAATGATTTTCCGCGAACATACCAATGGAGGAGGGGTGATGTAGATCGTATTAGGGAATAATTAGGGATGAGAAGGGAAGAAGAAAGGGATGAGAAAATAAGAAGGGGATGAGAATAGAGAGAGAATTTTAAGAAGAAGATTCAATATCAATAGTCAATAATCAAAGTCTACCAAAACAAATAACATATCTCCTATATATATATAGAGCCCACAAATCTTAAAAGAACTCTGAAAGAAATAAATAGTCATAATGACAACTAAACCCCTGAAAAGCAAAATATAATCCGATTCCTATCATTTTTCCCTGATTGAAAAGAACTCGCCTCCGGAGAGATACGATCATGATAATGCTCTAGAAGATTAGGGTCAAGATGACGAAACTCCTCCTTAGTAATCCATAAATCATCAATCTCTGGACGATCTCTCCACCGAATAAGATAACGACGATATCTTCCATTCGAGGAGCCCACAATCTGATCATTAAGTACATCTGCAATCTGGTCATGCAGCTGTGGTGGAAACGGTGGAAGAATAGGAACTGTAGTTGATGCTGATGACGAAGCAAGTCCACCTGTAGGAACACCTGCTGGCAACATAGGAGGCTCAAAAGTACCATGATAAGGAAACAAGTCATCCACATTGAAAATAGGACTAATACTTATATTCGAAGGTAAGTCAAGGTGATATGCATTAGGTCCAAGCTTACGAAAAATACGAGAAGGGCCAGTGGCTAGAGTATGTAACTTTTTGAAAGAATTTTTAGGGTAACGTTCAGGACGCACACAAACCATGACATAGTCTCCCATAATAAATTCTTTATTCCTACGATGAACATTTGCAGCCAATTTATAATTCTCATTACTTAATGTAATTTTCTGTCTTATGTCGGCATGCAAGTCATGAATATGCTGGACAAAAGCTTCGGCTGAGTGTGAGGGGCAGGAATAAGGAGGTAAAGGTAATAAATCAATGGGCTATCTAGGGGAATGACCATAAACAATTTCAAAAGGGGATCGACCAGTCGACCAATTGACGAAGTTATTATAGGCAAATTCAGCAGCAGGCAACAACAATTCCCAATTTCCCATCTTCTCACCCACTAGACACCTAAGCAAATCTCCTAAGCTACGATTAATTACCTCAGTTTGACCATCAGTTTGGGGATGAAAGACAGAGGAAAACTTAAGACTAGTTTCAAAGAGTTTTCAAAGTGTCTTCCAAAAATAACTCACAAACTTGACATCCTTATCGGACACAATGGAAATAGGCAACCCATGTAGTCGGACGACCTCTCTAAAAAATAACTTTGCTACATGTGAGGCATCAATAGACTTAGTGCAAAGAATGAAATGGGTCATCTTAGAAAACCTATCCACAACAACTAGAATGGAATCATGATTACGGGTTGTTTTAGGAAATCCTAAGACAAAGTCCATACTAAGGTCTCTCAATGGTGTGTGTGGAACTGGTAATGGTGTGTACAACCCAGTGTTTTGTTCCCTAGCCTTTGCTAACTGACAAGTGTGACACTGTGACACTATCCTAATAATGTCACGCCTCAAAGTGGGTCAATAAAACCTATCCTCAACAAGTGTCAATGTCTTATCCTGACCAAAGTGGCCTGCCAAACCTCCCGCATGTAATTCCCAAATCATGAAATCCCTAAGTGAAGTACGGGGAATACATAAGCGCGACTCTCTAAACAAGTAACCATATCTAAGGAGGAAGTCAATGTACTCATAACGGTTACCAGACTGAACATCCTGAAAAATGATATCAAAGTCAGGACAAGAGGCATACTCATCTCGAATCCTGTCAAAGCCGATCACATAGGCACTCATAGTCTGTAAAACAACAACTACACGGCTAAGATCATCTGCAGGCTTATTTTCAATGCCCGCTCAGTGGTGAAGAACAAAAGTATACTCCTGAAGGAACTCAGCCCACCTAACGTGCCTAACACCCAATTTTCTCTGGGAATGAAGGTATTTTAATGCCTGATGATCAGAATATAACACAAACTCAGATGACAATAGATAATACCTCCAATGGCAAAGAGCTTGTACCACAGCGTAGAACTCTTTGTCATATTTAGAATATCGTTGTTTAGCTTTATTGAGTTTTTTGCTGAAGTAAGCAATAGGATGACCCTCTTGACTCAAAAACTCCACCTATCCCTACACCAGATGCATCACAGGCAACCTTAAACACTTTAGAAAAATCTTGGTGTCGAAGAACGGGTGCCTCTGTCATCCTGTGCTTAATTTCTTGAAAGGCTCTAGTTGCAACAAGTGTCCATTGAAACTCCCCGTTTTTCATACACTCTGTGATGAGAGCCATAAATGAACTAAACCCTTTAATAAATCGTTTATAAAAGGTGGTCAATCCATGAAAAATTTGAACCTCAGAAATTGTTCTTGGCACTGGCCAATCCCTAATAGCACGAATTTTCTCTGGGTCAACTGCAACATCATGCGCAGAAATAACAAACCCAAGGAAAAACACTTGAGTTTGCATAAAGGAGCACTTCTTAAGGTTTGCATAGAATTTTTCCACACGTAATGTCTGCAAAACCTGTCGAAGATGATCCAAATGCTGTTCTTTAGACTTATTATAGATCAAGATGTCATCAAAGTAAACTACCACAAATTTTCCTAGGAAAGGACGCAGTATCTGAGTCATAACCCTCATAAATGTGTTAGGTGTATTAGACAATCCAAAAGGCATGACCAACCACTCATAAAGTCCATCTTGGATTTTAAATGCGGTTTTCCATTCATCTCCTGGTCTAATTCAAATTTGATGATAATCATTGCGCAAATCAATTTTGGAGAACCAAAGTGCATCGGCTAAAAGGTTAAGCATATCTTCAAGTCTCGGTATAGGAAATCGATACTTGACTTTAATTTTGTTAATGACATGACTATCAACACACATTCTCTAAGAGCCCTCTTTCTTAGGGGTCAACAAAGCAAGGATAGCACATGGTCTAAGACTATGACGAACAGACACTTTTTTGCAACAGTCCATCTACTTGCCTTTGAAGTTCAGCACGCTCAGTGGGATTCATATGATAATGGGGAAGATTAGGCAACTGAGATCCTAGAACTAAGTCAATAGCATGCTGAACATCTTTCATTGGTGGCAACTCATCGGGTAGTTCCTCAGGAATCACATCATGAAACTCTCTCAATAGACTATCAACCTCAGGCAAAAGATCGTCTTTAGATTCCAGAGGACTTTGGACAACTTCTTTGACAACTAGAGCTACTAGTATACCAGACACTTTTCTCTATTTTTCAAATTCTCTATGGGTCAAGATGTGAAGGTCTTTCTTTTGAATTACTGGGGAAGATGACCTATGCTTTGAAGTATTACTTTCTGAGGGTTTCACAGGTTTTAACTTAAATGGTTTTCCTCGTATGCTTAAAAACATAGGTATTTTTCTTCCCATAGTTTATCACATCTAGATCAAAAAGCCACGGGCGACCCAACAAGACATGAGTGACATCCATAGGTAAGACATCACACTATATATGATTTGAATAGTCACCCATCTGAATATGGACCAAACATCTATGTGAGACTGGTAAGGAGGTCTTGTCAACCTATGCAACTTTATATGGTTGTGGGTGTGTCTCTGACTTAAGCAGCAACTGAGCTACAACTGATTTAGAGATGACATTCAATGAACTTCCCCCATCAATGACGACCTTGCAAACTTGACCCCCACATTGGACTAGAGTATGAAAAATGCTGGTGCGTTTCCATGCTTCTGTGTCTGAAGGGGTGGATAAGATGCATCGTATCATACTGACACAGGTGTCATCGGTCTACCACTCTTCCTCACCCTCATCTAGTAACTCTAAGGGTTCTTCATCTAAAGGATCAACTTCTTGGTCAACATCCTCTTTGTCAAGTGAATTCCCTAATCCCTGGTCAATGGTCAAGGTACGTTGAGGGCACTGTGAAGTAATATGACCCTTGCCATGACAACGGTGACACTCTATGGAAGAATTGTCCTGACGAGAACCTATGAGTGTAGAATCTCGACCCCTAGTGGTATACCTCTCAAGTTGGGGATAATTGTTACCCCTGGATGTGACAGGGCCTGACTGGGTGACGCCTCGAGACCGATCAAATGAGACTGACCTTGATGGTTAAGATTTTTCGGTTTGAGAAGGTTTTTGATGCTGAAAGGGTGGCCTAAGGTATTATTCAATCTCTAAGGCTTTATAATATGCTTCCTCAACCGTTTTAGGAGAGTGTAAGTTAAGCTCTCTCCTAATCTCAGGTCGTAAGCCATTAATGAACTTTGTAGCTGTTATCCAAAGCTCTTCCTTTATGTCACATCTTAAAAAGAGCTCTTAAAATCGAGCTTGGTAATCAGTCACACTCGAGGTCAACTGACGCAAGTTCATCCACTTGTCCAAGAGTTGGCGCTTATAGTAACTAGGGACATATTTATCTCGCAATCTTTGTTTCATCTCAGCCCATAAAGTAATGGGTTGTCCCTTTAGGCGCTCTTGGTCTCGTTGGACTCCCTGCCAAATATCTCTTAGCCGAGCCAACGAGTTTCATTTTTGCAAAACGAACCCGATGGTTGTCGGACATATCATACCAATCAAAATAGTCATCCATGTCATCCAACCAATCTAAGAAAGCAACAGGATCTAACCTACCATCAAAGCTAGGAGCGTCCACTTTGACTATTTGTGTGATATCCCTAGATTCTTCGTGGACATGCCTATGTCGAGGATTATGGTAATACAGAGGGGGATACCTATGGTATCTGGCACGTGGTTGAAAGGGCTCACGATAACCATCCATATCACCCTCTGCTGAATAGTCAGACATGACTACCTCAGCGGGATCTTCCTGAACATTCCTACGACCTACGTTTCATCCAAAAGCGGTATTAGGAGGTGTCTTTCTATCTGGACGCTGTACTCGGCTACCCTGAGCTACTTGCGGAGTGGGTAGGACACCTTGACATGAGTCAGTAGGATCTATCGGGAGAGACAAGTGCCTAACATTGTATGCTTATTTAGACTTAGGTGAAACTTGTGACTCACTCTGGTCATAGTCTATTGGTCGTTTTTTCATAAACTTAGTCAATTAGGCTAGTTGAGTAGTAATTTGAGAAAGTTGTTGCCCCTTTCCTTGAACTTCCTCACGTAACAAGTCAACTGATTGTTTAGTATCGGTCATATCAATAGTGAGGGTCTCAAATTTTTGTTCTAATGCAGTATGAGATTCTAAAAGCTCACGAAGGGTCATAGTAAATGTAATGTAAAATTTGGGCTAATGTAAATTGTCGACTAGACTAAAAATTAAACCAAGTAATAAAAATTATAAATCAATACAAATGATCACACATAAGAACAAACTTATTGTAAAGAGGCTCAAATAAACATGAGACAAGCAACAATGAATTTAAAAAGAAATTGGGCAAACTAAGTTATGAAGGTGGTGTGTGGGAACAACAAACAAATAAGGTTATGAAGGTGGTATGCGGGAACAACAAACAAAGAAAGTTTAGGTTTTTTTTTCTTTTGACTTACCAACAAATATAATACTAGTCACCAATTTTCAACGAAAAGAACTCGTATCTGGTGTTAGATGTAACTCCAAGAGGATATTTGACACTTTAGAGGATGATCCTATGAATTCTGGAACTTTCTGGAGTATTTTTGTAATTTTTGAAACTTTTGCGGTGATGTTTCCGTAATTTCCTGAATATGCTAGGAATGTTTCTATAATTCTAGATCTTTTAGATGGTATTTCTAAATTTTTTGAAACTTGTGGAGTGATTCTGCAATCTTTTGAAACCTTTAATGATGTTTCTGTAATATAACTTGCTCTCCTTCTTTAGCGTGCCTATAAGTGAAGCCGTAAGCACCATCCTAGTGACAGCACAAACGAATAAATAAAGATGAAGATGCAAACGATGAAATCAATCACCAAACGATGACGAAGAAGTAATTGGCAGCGATGAAGCAGCGGATCTGGATCAACAAACAACAATGAAGTCTGATTTTTTTTTAATTTACCTGGACAACCGATGAACAGTAATTGTAAACAGTGTGCGAGGAACAATTTTTTTTTATTCTTTATTTTTTGTGATTTGTACTAATCGAAGTTGGGTTCTGATCATAAATTGATGTAGATCATATTAAAGAAAAATTAGGGAGGAGAAAGGAAAAAAAAAAAGGATGAGAATAGAGAGAGAATTTTAGGAAAAGATTCAATATCAATAGTCAATAATCAAAGTCTATCAAAACAAATAACATATCTCTTTTATATATATAGGGAGACCACGAATCCTAAAAGAACTCTAAAAAAAATAAATAGTTATAATGACAACTAAACCACCGAAAAGTAAAATGACAATTAACTTCTAATCTGTACGCCCTATGGGTACTATAACGAAATATAATGCGATTCCTATGAAGGGGATTCTAAGGCTCTGTAATTTCTAAAGCATTCCCCAATGGAGTCGAAAGATATATCTGTCTATATTTTTACTGTACTTCGCTTTGATATGCATTGACCTTAGAATTGTTGCTTGACATTCTGATTTCATGCTCAACCACCATCATCTAATATTCTTTACGCGAGGCTCTAACAGGAAGCTTTAAAACTAAAATGGTATTTGCAAGATTAATTGGGAAATTCAGGTGGCTCAAATTTTGATTTCAAAGGGAGTTTGGGACTCTGCACTTCCTACTTATAGATTACAATGTACTCATCAAGTACAACCTTTCCATTAGCTCTGTCTGGCTGCCAAAATATAAAAGGGAATAGCAGGGGAGAACTGGTATTACATGGATATCTGGAACAATGCATAGGCTAAATAACTGAACAAGTCATCAGTCATTGACTCATTGTACACGAATACGACGTGCAACATCACTAATCACTCCTATTTTGATCCCTTACAACTGATATTCATATTACTTTTAATTTTGTAGTATAGTAAAATTTGACAAAATCCAGACAGGGGCACATCTGGGGTAATTCACCCTTCTCTGGTCATGCCAGAACAGAAGGCTTACAGGCATTGATCTCGCCTGTTGGTTTACCACATTCCCCTTTCTTTTGACCATGTTTTGATACCTTCACTTCAAAGCACTCAAACATATTCTCCAACTCAGAAATCTCCTCTTGCATGTTAACTACTGGTTCGCTTCCTGTGGCTATCCGTTGCTTGAAGCCACGGATATGGTCAAGGCTCAATCCAGCTTCTGTTACTATTTCCTCCATTGTTGCACACATTACTGCATTTTCCTCTTGTGCTTGTTTAAATTTCCTTTTCATGGACCGGTAACCATCAAGGGACCTGAGGAGTTGCTCGGACAGTGCCTTGTTCCGCTCTTGGAGTACAGCGTTTCTTTGTGTCTCTGCTCTATCAGATGATCTCTCTTTGTTCTCAGCAGAAAATTCTTTTACTTTCTCCAATAATGTCTCATTCTGTGCTTTCAGATCATTGATAAGTTCCTCCATTTCATTCTCTTCATGAACCTTTCTTGCTAATTCTGAAGCCATAATTTCTTTCTCTTTTCCCAAGCTAGAGCACATTATTTCTAGGCTCTTCCTTGCTGCCAAGCTTGCATTGAGCTCCTTTCTTAGCCTCTCTTTCTCATCGGCTATTGGTTCGCCTTGCCTTTTGTCCCTTGGGACATTGGCAGGCCTAAGCTCCGTGTTGCATCGCCTCAGCTCAGCTGCTGATGTTTTGCTGCCAAAAGATTGACATTTCTGAATCCGAGTTCTAATGTTGTCCAGAATGGTCATCATTGTAGCCACCCTTAACATTCTCCTGCCATCGTTTTTCTCTTTCTTGCATGCATCTTTATGATCTTGGATTAGCTTTAATAACAACTTAATATGTGCTGCAACGCCTAATGAAACCGAAAAAAGTTAAGAGTCAAATGCCACGTCGAATACCAGGCAAAGGGTGTAATCTAATTCAAGGCTGCAATTGATCGATGAAAAAAAAAAGACCGATTGAACAACTATAGTTTCATGCTATGAGCATCATATCTGAGCTTCACAGATTTTCAAGAAAAATAAATCTTCAAGTGGCTAGAATGAAGTAATTACATTCTTTCTAGGAATTAATGCAATAAAACAGTTTAATTTGGTGTAATAACAACACAAATTTACAAGAAACATCCTTCATCTATTTTTCTGAAGAAACATAGTTTATAACAATATGTTCCAAGAAAAAAAATTATTATTACTCTTTTGATTAGTATTGTCATGAAAGTAGATGTGCAAGATCTGTTCACCTTCTAAAGCCGAATCATCGTACTGTTCGCTTGATGGCGAAGAATGAACTAATTCAGGAGATGAATGTGCTCGAATTCGATTCATTTTATCCTTCAGCAGTCAAAGATCAATGAGAAAACTTTGAAGATACAAAGCTTTTCATGAAATGGAGGAAAATGGATGAAGAGGATACAGCAGGAAGAAGCTGAAAAGGAGAAGAAAAGGGGTAATTTTGTGGTGAAAAAAAAATCTAGAAATCTATAATGTTTGAGAGGTACAAAGAAGAGAGCTGGTTTGCCTTTGCAGTCCCTCTCTCTCTGTCTCTCTCTCTATCTGGGGCTTTCTTCAAACTTTCTTCTGTGTAATATTGTAAGTTAAATTTTGTTTGGTGCTAGCTCATTACAGAATGGTTGGTTGAAGATAGTTATTTTGGCGCAATTATTGGGGGATGGTTTGACTTTTTCATTGGCTTAAATGGTTGCTTTGACTATCTTGGACAATAGCTGTGGCTTCATGTGGCTGTCCATACCCTATTCACTATGAATATTCTCATGTGCCCAAAAATTTGTATAGAATCTCATCCCATCTCCACACATCCCCATGCAATTGAGCAATCAATCACATTTAACATGTATGTTGCCTGTGCACTACAGGTAACCCACCCCCTAGGAGCAAGAAGAAATCAGCATTTCCAGATTTGGAATTTTAGGCGTAATTAGGGGGTGTCAATCTGAAACTAGTCTCAGTAATTTACAGTTCTTCAGTGAGTTTGGATACACAAAAAAAAAAAAAAAAATCCCACTTTGATTAGATTTTAATAATATTGGGGTTCTCGGTCTTTGATGATTTTTGAGAACCAACATGAGCTTAAAAATTATGATTTAATATGAAACTGAATTCAAAATTTAGTCTAAGGTGTGTAACTCTAGGATCAAATTGAAATTTTACCTAGAATTTCAATCTATAAAGATTTGAATTTACTCTAATACAATTTTTTTTAATTCTCTTAATTCTAAATTACACATCGTGTACTGATGGAGATCCCCCATTTAAATTCATCATCGTTGATATACTATCAAAAAACAATGAAAGACAAATGTATTAAAAGCGATCTCACCGAGCTTGTATCTCAATTTCCGTGCTCACAGTTTTTTTTTTATCATGGACAAAAAAAGAGAATATCACAAATGGACCTTCCTTAGATCTTCTGGCCTAATATGGTTCTCCACCCATGTAATAAAATTATATTTGTCGTAATAATTACGCCACATCAATATTATTAAGTATAATCATCTAATAATAACTTAATAAGTGGGACAAAGTGAACCATACTTCTACAAATAATTATCTTTCATGTGAGTTATTAACCACTCCATGTAAAAAAATGAGGTTCAAATTATCTATTTATTAGCTTATCATTCAGAAGTTATACTATGTGACAATGTTGATTTATGTAATGATTACACCAAGAGAAAATGTTATCAATACCCCTTTCGAGTTTATTATATCTTCAAAGACACATCTCTATTTATTAAATCTACATCATTGACACCAGTGTTAGAATAAAGACCTTAACTAGAATATAATTTTATTAAATTGCTAATGATAAAAAAAACTTCATCCACACCCTTTTAGATAAACATATTTTCAATAAGACCCCCTCTATTTTATGATTTATTTTTATGTATTAAAATTTAAGTCGATTAAAATTCAATTTGAGTCAATTAAAATTCATTTTTAATTGGTTTGAATCAAATTTTATTCAACTCGTATTAAATTTTAATCAACCCGAATTTTAATTAGTAAAAAAATATAGACTTTAATCGATTTATTTCGAATTTTAATATATAAAAAAAAAATTTAATCAACTCGAATCAAATTTTAGTCCACTCAAATTTTAATATGTAGAAAAATGAATTTTAATTTGCTCAAATTTTAATATGTAAAAAAAATAAATTATAACGACTCGAATTTTAATCATATTTTATGTAGAAAGATTTTTTGTGGTCTATGTTGAAGTAATTTTAGTATTTTAGTTGAACCTTTTTTTTTTGTTGGAAATGGTGGTCTAATGACAAGGGGTGTTAGTAATGTTTAAATACAAATTAGAGGGGGTGTCAGTGATATTTTAAATAATAGAGGAGGTGTCCTTAAAAATATGATAAACTAGAAAGGACGTAATTGAATTTTTTCCTTGCACTAAATGTTTAATCTAGCCGAAACACCACCAAATAAAACAAAAAGGAGAATTACACTCAGACCCTCTAAAATTTGTCATTTAATCATTTAGATCCCTTGATATTTAAAATATTACACACAGACCTCCTGAAGTTTGTACGTGAACAACATTTAGACCCCAACAGTCAATGTCCGTTAGTAAATTACATACAGACCCGTTGAAGTTAGTAGATTGTAATTCTTAGATCCTTCAAATTAAAATGTTATATTTAGATAAAAAATATACCAAGTAAAGATAGAATATCAAATATTTTAAATTTTACAACTAAAATTTATATTATATTATGATATTTATTGAAATAAAATTAAAAATTAAATTAAATTTTTTCTTAAATAGTGTATAATTATACTATCTATTGGAATTTAATTTGATCGTTTAAACGACCAAATTACCCCAATTAAATCTAGAATATATTGTATCCACTACAGTCTAACTATTTATTTATTTTTTTAATTTTATTCTAATAAATAATATAATTATATACTAATTATGATTTTTTTAAAAAAATAAAATTTTTATTGAAACAATCCACATTGCTACCTTTTTATGTAGTTGAGGGTACAATTTAAGAACTTTAATTTTTTAGGTTATAAATTAAAATTTTAATTAATAACACTTTTAGTTTCTAAAGTATACATTTTTTGTCAATTTAATTCTTAATGTATCAATTTTGTCTCTAAAATATTCAATTCGAATCATTTTAACCCTCATATAGACTAAATGTTAAATTTTTAACAAAATAAACACATGTTAGATACGTGGTGATACCTTTTAAAAAAATAACACGTGATCATTTTCGTCAAAAAACTTAACAATCCATGTATGTGGGACCAAAATGACACAAATTGAATAGTTTAAGGAACAATTGACAAAATTGATACATTGAGGACTAAACTGACAAAAAATACATACTTTAAGGATAAGAAATACTATTAACCCTTAAAAATTTACAAATTGTTTATAATGCAAAATGTCATTCACCCTACCATTTAACAAAAAAAAAAACAGTTGACAGAATACAATCACAGCATATAATTGCTTAAGCATACCTTAAATAATTAAAACAAGAATTTATCGAGTAGAATTGAATTCCTATAGTTTTGTTCATTATAAAGCACAGTAGAAACATTGTACAAGATTTTCCACCATTACTTTCTTTAGCATGTACAAATCATTTTCCACACTACGTTCAAGAAACTTAAAACATTCAACAATCTGTCACAGTTCAAAGAAGTACAAACAAGGGACTACTGTGTGATGAGAGGCCTTGTGTTGTTCCAAAGCCACTGACGTGCAGAACCGTCCACCAATGGTGAAACCTACGAGAGATACTGAGTTAGTAATTGTAATAAACCAGACTATGTTCCAAATCTACGACGTAGTATTTAGTAAAAATCTAATGTGGTACTTCACGAAAACATAAATATACTGTGGCTTCAAAGATAAGCAGAATATCATATGGTTAAAACTCTAAATACTCAAGCTATAGGAATGTAGAAATGAGACAGAAAGGAGTGGAACATGCTCAAACCTGCATTTCATGTGTTCTCTTTGTCAGTAATTATGCAATTACACGTTAAATAATTTAGGAGATGTTATGAATCAAACATCAGCTATTGTAAAGGAATGTAGACGGTAACATGATGGTATGTGCCATGTTGAATGCAATTTTATGGTAAGTTCCATGCTACCAGACTATACGAGCAGTTTAGTCTTGCATTCGGAGTAAAGATTCCCAACCCTGACACATACCAAATTTTCACTAGACAATGACAGCCATTTTTAAATTTGAAAGAGTTATTCGGAACGTAAGACATTTCCACAGATTCCACAGTTTTTTTATTTGTAAGTTACCTTTTCCCAAACTTCTGAATGGTAATCATTGAGCCAATCAATCTCAGCAATGGATAGCACAGGTAAGTCAATCAATTTAATCTGTATCATGAAATAGGCAGAAATTATTAAAACTTTAGGAAACCGCTACGATGAGGTGACAAGGCAAAGAAGAAAATAAATGTTTCAGATAAACTATATCATTAAATAAGGTATTAACACCCAAGACTTCACAGCAAACGGGCAGCCACCAACAACCCACAATGCATAGGTTCAATTGGTGACTCCTACAAAAACCTTCGGCCCTAAACCATGAAAAATAGGCAGCAAGAATTGGATTCTTCAACACGAAATCTATTCAGCATCTTCAATTAAAAATGCAAGATTCATGCTGCTAGACGGGCTTTCTATAAATATAGTGAAGAATTTTTTTTCCTTTTTATAGATCAATATCTTTTGTTCGACACCACAGAACCTTCTATTCATTTTGCAAGTGTATCATAATCATGGAAGCCTCTCCATCCCTCACAATAACCTATTCACAATTCTCAAGGTTATTATGCTTCAGTTGGAGGGGGCAGAAAAGATGAGCTACAAGAAACAAAAGGCTATCAAAACGAGGAAACTAAAAGAATGTATGTATTAGACAACCACATGATATTCTTATAATAAATAATAGCCAAAATAAAGGGCAGCTACAATTGCAATTTATCTACATTCATGTGCTTAGACCTAAAACAAATTTGTCATATGAGCACCATAGCATGGTTCTCTGGAGCTCATTTTACACCCAATTTATTGACATGGCAAGTATCACAGTCCTCCATTTTAGTATAGAAGCTGTATATCAAATACATCAGGCATTATGACCATAACTTCTGTCTAAATCTCCAATTCCCTGTACAGTAGGACTAAAGGCACAACGGTAACCAGCACAAGCTAATATACCTGTATGGGAACAAATGTGAGCTTTTCAAATCCCAAATATCCGATGCCTCCAAAACGATTTGGCGTGTTAACCTCTTTCACATAG